ACAGCCACACACACACACACACACACCCACACACACACACACGAGCAGCAGCACAGGGCAGAAAACGCCAAGATTTTTCATCCTCTGACTTCTAATACAGACAGATGCTGGGCCATGAGCTGTGTTGCTCTGCTGTCATCTTCTGAGTTCTGTGTTTCAAACACAAAGGAGTCTGCAGCCACCTCAGGCAGATACGCTGGAATCTTCTTCTAGCTTACTTTCTTTTCTCGAAGGCCACACAAAAAGTGTGAGACATTTTCATAAACCACAAAGGTGATACAGCAGGCTGGAGTCACTCTAATCAAATTGGGAGCGATGCCTTTGTAAAATCCACCGATGCCTTCTTTCCTACGGGAGGGGCAGACACACGCTCATTTCCTAAGTAGCCAGTGTGAATATATCAACAGTTCATGAACTCGGGGCACTGAATATGCAGTCAAGCCCCACCCTACTCACACGTGGGTGTGTGCAAGCCTTTCGTACAATGCCCTGAGGGAACATAGTTTATGTGCCATGCACGGAACTTTTATAAACTGATGAGGGAAGTGGGTAAGGACCCCTCAGAGGAGAACAGACAGTCTGTGCAGTGAGTCACTCATGTTTTACAAGGATGGTGGTGCTGGGGGTTTAGCAGATCTAAGGCAGGACCCTGGAGAGAGGCTGAGGCAGGAGGATCGTTACAAATCTGGAGTCCCTGAAGACGGCCTCACAACTGGGAGCCAGGGAGAGCTACATTCCAGAGACTGTCAAACAAGCAAGCAAGCAGCAGTATGTCCATGATCTCCTAACTGACATCAGTGGTACAAAATCTAAATATAGCTCACATAAAAATAAAACTTTATTTCCTTAATGCCTGGAATAGGGAATAAGGCCTTGCAGACTATCAAACAGTATTTCTTAAAGTGAACTAATTAAATGCAGTCTCTTCAGGTCTTTTAGAATTGAAGAGAAACACAAGGGAAGTCAACCTATAATGATTTAATTCTTCTTGTGTATAATCTCTTCTATAACACAGAGACAAGTATTTGTAAAAGTTACAGGGCCAGTAGCAGATATAGTTAAATTTCAAAGACATTTAACTAGCTTTCTGACTTCTTATATCCAGTGTCAATCAAGTATTTTGAGACTTAAATTCTGTGCTGATAATTTTTTCAAAGCACTGACATCTGTTTTTATTACAATTTTGTGAGCCCCAAGAGTCTAATTTTACAAATGAATGAATCAGGCTTGAGAGGCATTGTGTGTCGTGACACATACAGGAAACAGGAAAGTTAAGGACAGCCAACTGCGTCTCTTCCACAGCAGACTGGTCAGTCCTAAAGACCTGTGGCATGGACAGTCTAG